GACAGAGACACGAAAACACAGACAGAGACAGGAAGAGAGAGACACACAGAGAGACCTTACCGGGGCTTTACAGAGATAAGCTGGGAGAGACTTTGAGGCATGAAAAGGATGAGAGAGCCCTAGCTGGTTTGGCTCAGTGGATAGAGCGTCAGCCTGCGGACTGAAGGGTCCCAGGTTCGATTCCGGTCAAGGGCACATACCCGGGTTGCGGGCTCCGTCCCCAGTTGGGGCGTGCAAGAGACAGCTGGTCAATGATTCGCTCTCATCATTGATGTTTCTATCTCCCTCTCCCTCTCTGAAATCAATAAAAAATGTGTGTGTGTGTGTGTGTGTGTGTTCCTGAGTCTCTCCATCTCTGAGTGTCTCTCCCTTTCTGCATGTCCGAGTCTCCTCCTGTCTCTCTGTCTCTCTCTCCCTGTATTACTGACTCTCTCCCTCTTTCCCCAAAGGGCGATTCAGGGGGCCCACTCGTGTGTGGAGGCCGTCTCCGAGGCCTGGTATCATGGGGTGACGTCCCCTGTGGATCCAAGGAGAAGCCGGGGGTCTACACCAACGTCTGCAGATATCACCAGTGGGTCCGGAGAACCATTTGGGCCAACTCATTCTGACATATGGCATCCAACCCTTGACCTCGGACCCCACATATCGCCTCTAAGATATGTCTGATCAAGACCGTGCCTCCTCCCCTCCAACCCCGCCCGGAATCAACCCTTAATGCTTCATTCTGCCTGATTTTACCCAACCCCATCACTGGGGGTGAGCCGGGGCATGGGCTGAGGTCTTGCCCCGACCACTAAGAGAAAACAGGAAAATCGCGTCCGAGCAGCCCTCCCTCCTGATGATCCCAGGGGCGTGTTATCTCCCCGCAGAGGACTGGTCATGCGCCTGGAGAAACCCAGATTGGAACCCCAGCTCTCCCTCTTGCTCCCCGTGCAGACTCTCATCTGTGAAATAGGGACAATAACACTACGCCCCTCATAACTCAGGGGCCGCCGTTGGGAGGATTCAAGGTCTGGAACGTAGGCAACACAGGCACCAGGGCCTGGCACACTGCCTGCTGAATAAAGAGTAAATTTCACTGCTGGTGACACTTGTTGCTTTTCTCCCACGTCTGCTGCCCTGGGACCCAGCTAATTGCTTAGTGCTTCCAGCAGCCCGGCCGGCTTAGGCGGTTAATCCTCAGGGCCCGTGGGAGATGGTGCTAGGCCTTGAATGCCAGGCGGAAGACGCTGGCCTTGATCCTGAGGACCCTGAGGGAAGGAAGGACGGACAGGGTCAGATCTGGGTATTAGAATATCTCACGCGGGTGCATTCGAGGTGGGGGGATGGGCAGGGAGGAGCAGACAGCCAGAGCTGAGTGAGGACCCAGGCTTCCGCGTGCCTTCTGGGGTTCTCCCATCAACACGCACCACGCGTGACCCCAACCCGTGTCAACCCCTCTGTCCCCAAACCCCAGGCCCGGGCCTGTCCCCAGAGAGGTATTGTTCTCTTACAACCCCCACGGCCCCATCCCTGAGGAAGACAAAACAACATCTAAGTCACGTGGGGCGATTGGGGGGGCCCCCCCACTAGCACCTGCCTTGGCTGGCCTGGGGCCTGTGGGCTGGGGGCAGCTCCTGCGTTGAGCATCTGCTCCCTGGTGGTCAGTGCGTGATATGTGACTGGTTGTTCAGCTGTTTCAGTTGATTTGCATATTAAGCTTTTATTATATAGAATTTGTGTGAGCTCTTATATGTTAAAGATACTAACTATTTATCAAATATTTGCTGCAAATACATTTTTCCCAGTTTGACTTTTAAAATCTAGGCTCATTAGCGATTTCCCCTGTAGCCACATGGATTCCTTTAGATGCCTGTTTTCTTTCTCATTGGAATTCTATGCTATTTTTATTGCTATAATTTCTTTTTTTTAAGAGTCTGTTATTCTTTTTGAGTTATATTTTCTTCTAGTTTGCAGCCATAATGGCTTCACTCCTAACTTTATTTTTTAAAATATGTTTTCATTTATTTGAGAGAGAGAGAGAGAGGAAGAAAGAGAGAAAGAGAGAAAGATTGAGCCCACAATCTGGGCATGTGCCCCGACTGGAAATCGAACCGTGACCTCCTGGTTCATAGGTCAATGCTCAATCACTGAGCCACACCAGCTGGGCAACACATATCTTTTTTTTTTTTAGGACATGTAGTATATTAGCCTTTTATTTATTTATTTAATTTGTTTTTTATTAACACATTTCTTTTAATGAT